GCTCATATTCAAGTGTTGTTGTACCCATGCTTACTACTAAAAGAAAAAAAAAGGGAAAAAAAGGGAAAAAAAGGGAAAAAGAAGGGAAAAAAAAAAAAAAGTGTTGTTATAAGCGCATGCTTTTGGACGCAACATCCGTGGCAGTATTATATCGTACTAAAACACGCGCACGCACTAAGTTCCCACAAAACGGCACAAAAAACCTACAAAGTAGGGGGTGCTTAATCCCTTTTACGGCGGGCTGTTTACCGATTCGGAAGCTGAATTGAAATTGCGGCGTGTGCTTGCGCGAGGACTTTTCGGAGATGAAAGCTCTGCTTCGAGTGGATTGTGTGCGCATGTACCCTGTGGGCACTTGGTCAGTTCGTCGTAGTGGTGCGGCGGTGCCGAGTTAGTGCAGGAACTCGGCCAGATTCCTGGCCACATTCATGCTTGCTATCAATCGCCTCTGATTCACGGACGGATGTACTGTTGACGTCACCTTTCCCTCCCGTCAGCTGCAGTCGAGATGCTTGGCATGTCCCTCGCGACATCCGGTTAAAAAATAAAATAAAATTAAATAAAATTAAAAATTGGAGCCATAGATAACCGACGAGCCACACACACACACACACACACACACACACACACACGCGCGCGCGCGCGTTTTCGTAAGGATGACAGATGAATACACTGCGTTTTTTTTGTTTTTTTTTTTGTTCCAAAGAAATGTGGACCATTTCTCCGTTGACGTATGGAGTTCGTAATTGCTTTCCTACTACAGTCTACCGCCGAATACAACGAACTGTCATTATAGCTGAATTTAGACTGAAAGATGCACCAAATTCAGCTATAATGATCGTACGTTGTATTCGGGGGAAGACTGTAGCTCAGGTGGTAGTACACCCTTGAACTGTGGAATCATATCGAACAGCTCTTTGATATGAGAGAGAGAGAGAGAGAGAGAGAGAGAGAGAGAGAGAGAGAGAGAGAGAGAGGATTTCTTTATTTTTTTATTTTTTCCACAAATTGTATGTGGTTTATTATACTTAGAAAGGCCTGGGGTGATTATCATGGCCCCTGCGCAAGGATGACGAGCATCAGCAATCGAGAAAAGATGCTCGATATGCGTGCTACTCGAGGTATAAAGGCAATCATCATGGACCAGCACAGCTCCAGCATAATGATTCAGGCCGCAGTCCTTTTCTGAATGTATCTGACCCCGATTACAGCCCGCGCTGGATGTATATGCCCTCAAAATACGTCCCGAGGTAAGTTAAAAAATTCCTTTGTGTCACTCAGCCCTTAGAATCTCATCTAATCTACTGTTACCTCGACCGTCAAATTTCCCGACAGGAAGGCGGACGGCCTAGGTTGCAGAGTTCCCATTGCACTTTGGGTCTCGCCTGGCCTAAGTCCCACACACAAAAAAAAAAAAAAAAAAAAAAAAAAAAAAAAAAAAAAAAAAAAGGGTCCCACCCACTGCGGTGGAACCCCCACAAAATTCCCAACCCCGCGCCCAAACAAAAAAAAAAAAAAAAAAAAAAAAAAAAAAAAAAAAAAAAAAAAAAAAAAAGAAATTTCCCGACAAAGATCCCGACATGTACCCGCGAGTCCATACATGCCGAACCAATACAATTATAATGACAATAAAAAAGGGCATGAAAGGCCGTCCTGTGTACATTCAACAGGCAATTGATCTGGGAAACGTCGTCAAATTTGGTTTTAGACGAAACCTTTGTATCCATTTCCGCCCAAAGTGTTTTGCAGGGTGCAAAAATGACCCCGGCGGAAGTGAATTTGGGGTCCGCCGCACCTCTTTTCTCCGTTGGGGGGAGATGGATACAAAGGTTTCGTCGCGGGAGGTTTTATGACTTCTCCCAAGTGATTTAATTTGGGGGTAACTTCAGTAGAGTCACAAAAACGAGTTATAATTGCAGTATATGGGGCAAGAAGATACAGTTTGGAATTGCACGTCGGGCACCGTACCTGGCCACAAAGCTGGGTTGTGTACAGTGCCTAAACTGCAATTCGAAACTGTATCTTGGCCCACCAAGTGCAATTATAACTCATTTTTGTGACTCCCACGTAGTTCCCCCTTTAATTTAATTCTTTTTTTTTTTCTTTTTTTTTTTTGGGAGGGGGGGGAATTTAATTCAATATCATGTGGCCCTATGGACCGCCGATCACAAACTAAACTGTTCAGAAAAGGGGCAAGGTCCCACTTGCAGGGACTGAGGGCCAGATCCCACTAGCCCCTATTATTCATTTCTGACCGTTGATCTTCGTAATCGAGGGTCAAAAATGAACAATAGGGGCTAGTGGGATCTGGCCCTAAGAGATTGTGGGCGTCGATCTCTGCTATCTACGGTCAGTTCGCTTAATAATTCGTTTAACACTTGATCTTAGCCAAAAGGTCGAGGAGAAAAAAAAATAAAAATAAAAAAGGTATCTCAATATTCCAGTGAATATAAATAAATACACATGTTTCAAAAACAAACACAACTTGCAATGAAATGGAATGTGTGATAACAACGTTGGTTTGCTGTTGGCAGCTATAGGTGTTTAGTGTAGAGATTATAGTTTTGTGAATGATCAAGGTACTTAGGGTATAAACCACGGTTTGGTTACGTTTTGTAAAAGATTGGCTTAGTTTTGGATTTTGCTTTAGGCATTTTGGATCTCTAATTTCTAAATTGGTTGGACGAATTTTTTAGAATGGGGGTGTCTAACAATAGTGGTTCGCCGTTGGTATAGATTATGTTTGGAAATTTTGTTTGGGTTGTGACTGGGATAGGTAAATTTTGTTTGGGTTGTGACTGGGATGGGTTGTTGTGATTTCGTTGTGGGCTGCGGCGGGGATAGGTCTGGTCGGGAGTGCCTCTCTTAGCCCGTTTGGCCGCAGCAATGATGTAAGGGACGCCGGGCCCGATTCCTGGCTATGTGAATGAAGAGTAATCCCGCCTCAATTCGAGCTCATTACCTGTCCAGCAACAGTTTCCATGTTCGTAACACTGAGGGGGGTATATTCGCAACGAGCAGTTTTGCACTGTTTCTGGACGAGATTGGGGTGAGATACGTCCATTTCCGGCGGTAATTGCGATCAGATATTGTCGCTACCGGTAGTGCGAGTACGCGCTGAGCCGCATGGGCAGAGGTGGCGTGCTCAGCATTGCTCCAGTTTCTCGGCCATCTCTCCCCCTTCATTTTTCTTGTTTTTTTTTTCCCCCTTTATTTTTCTTTTTTCGTTGTTAATCTTTTTCGCAGAATGGAGGCGGGACCAGCCCACGCGGCATGGGCGCGGGATGGACGCGGAATGGGTGCGGGATGGGCGCGGGATGGGTGCGGAATGGGCGAGGGATGGGTGCGGAAACGGCGCGGAATGAACGAGATACATGCTGTCATTTGCGATTGTTTCCTTTTTTTTTCCCATTCGCAAGTTTTCTTCTCCTTGTATTTCGTCCTCATCATTAAATATACATATATATCGCGATGAAAACGACAAAACAGAGTAGTGATCCATCATGAAACCACGTCGGCCGGCTAAACGTCCATGGGTACTCAAACAGAGCTGCTATATATACCGGCCAGCTCTGCTTGACGATATATATATCATATATATATACATATATGTCACATGATATCAGAGCGCCGAAGCGAAAAACGAAAGAAAACAAGGAAAACAAGTCCCATTAGCAGTCGGGTAGGAGTGTGGCCGAGCCACCGTGACACTGAGTGGCAGCGGCCAGACAAGTTCATCACGATTTTTTTTGATTTTTTTTAATAAAAAGGCTAATTCTTTAGGCCCAAGTGGGAGAGTGTTCGCCTTAGACACTGCTGGTATTCGGTTGGAGGTGGGGGACGATGAAAAGGGAGGCGCAGCTACTGGCAAAATGCTCTGTCTTTGTGTTAGCTGGACCCCCACCGGCGGCCCCACCCCATCCTTGACCACCATGGTTGGGGTGGGGGGGCAACATGCATCCCCTCTGATGGCTGGAGGGAGACAACAAAGCTATGTTTGCGGGTGTCCCCTGCATAAGCCTTAGGAGTAGTGGTAGGTAGGTGGGTAGTGAAGGTGAATTGAAAGAATTTGAAAGATGATGAAAGATTTGAGAGAAGACTGGGTCTCGCTCCACTACTCTAGAAACCGGCACCGCTCCACTTACTCTAGACGCCAGGTCTGGAATTCGGGTTCTTGAGCTGTCAGTATCTACTCACGAAAATGGCCAGAATCCGTCGTCGCTCCACTAACTAATGGAACACACTCACCAAAATGCATTTCTTGAGTTGTCAGAACCTCCTCTCCCGTGGCACTCTTGACGATTCGAGAGCTCCCGCCTGCAGCGGCCAGAATTTCAAGGGAGGCATCCAGGACCTTCGAAAGTTGAGCATTTTTTTGGAGTGCACCTGGAGTCTGGGCGGAAAACAACGTGCTGGCCGTGTCGGGTAGCTCTCTCAAAGAGCGGTCTGACATCCCAGAGGCCTTCTTGAGCTCTACCTTCTAGAGTAAGTGGAGCGATGTACTCTTTTTCAGTCGTTTCTAGAGTCTGACAGCTCTGGACTCACTCTCGAAAATCTTCAAGAGTCTAGAGTAGTGGAGCGAGACCCAATATAGCGTAGTTTGAAAAATAAAAAATAAAAAATAAAAAATCAATTACCTGCAATCAGACTCGTTCTCAAAGACACTTTTCATGCATGTAAACAGCAACGCAGTATACTGGCGACATGCGCCCACTCAAAACTCAGAGATATGACTTTCAGATACGAGTTCACTCTCAATTGGCTATGGCGACTTCAGCGCCCAAACATCTCAATGTTCACATACACTGGATCACCCTGGATATCCCACACGCATCACTCTAA